TTCAACACAGAGCAACTATTGTAGTGACTTTATCTACTTTTCTTCGTGATTTGCAGGATTTAGTTCTAGTAGAAAGCATGATTCTTCTCTTTAACAGATTTGTGAGTTTCGAGATAATATTTTGATTCGATCTATTAAGGAATGAAATATTCAAAATAAACTTTTTCATTAGACTCAATGAATGATAAATATTTAATATATATGAGACAGACTGTATGTTTTGTCTAATCAACAATCGTCTTGTAGATGATCTGTATCTTACACTTTATTTGATTAGTTTTTTAAAGATACATTTCAAAGACATTTTCATAGACATTTCTTTTATATAAAAATACTTTGTTTGTTAATATTAAAACTCTTAATATAAAGGATCGTCTTTTAACTTAACATTTGTATTTAAAGAAACAACATATGATTAGAAAAAGATAGACTAATTGGACAATTATCTTTAGAATAATTGCACTAATTGTACATATCCTATGGATATATGCATAGTTCTAAAAATTGACCCCAACTGGTCGATCGAACTAGTTTGACTGAAAACCAATTGATTAGCTAGTTCGAGCTTTTAATTATATTGTTTGTCCAACTAACTCGGTAAGAATCGATGTGACCCAACCAATTTTCCAAACGAACCTCTAAACCAAAGTGCTACAAAATTAAGAGAATATTGTACTAGATGGATTTTCCCATGCACTTGTGGTTATATAAAAAATGCATTACCGTTAAACATATAAACCAACGTATTCATTTGGTAAACACGTAAAATAACTAATTTTTATATCTTTTCATTCATTAAACATATAAGATATATACCATATTAAATCTTATTTATTTATAATATGTGTGTTTAGATGTATTTCTTCATACAAAATAAAAATATAAAGAAAACTTTAAATTAGATAAGACTAAAACCAAGATGAATGTAATTATTTAATCACCTTAATGATCACTAAACCAATATACTATATTCTTATATAATTGACTTAAATTTATATGGTATGTTTCAATTTGAAATTATACATTTATTATATATTAATTTATGAATCAATTTAAAATTTTGTTGTTCTGTAAATATTATGCTATTTACAATTTTTCGTAGGAGATTTTTTAAGATATTGTATAAATTTTATTAAAATTTATAAATATAATGTATATATATATATATAATATTAATATATTTTTTTAAAAAGTTAATATAGACCAATTTATACTATTCAATTAATAACTTATAATATCTGACTGATTAACTTATAATACTCTAATCTGTCTGATGATGGATCTTGATTTTAAAACATCGAGTATATGTATATCCTAAAACAATTTATACGGCCAGTCTAGATCGATGAAATGAGTTAAAAAAAATTCAACAATTGTTATGATTATTCTTCATTGAGATTGAGACTTTAAACCTTATCTTTTCAAACTCCAATGTAGATAATTTGAGCAAGGGGACTCTTATAGTAGCTAGAGTTGTGAACTTGTAAGGTAAATTATGCACTCAGACATTGTTGCCCATCATTAAGGAGCACCCCCAACGTCACAATAAATCATGTGCATAGAGAAGCCAAATCATTGTGCTCACTCTCATGATGATAAAAAATCACATCTCATCCACCTAGCTACTTCATTGTTGAAGTTTGTGTCGTTGTTACAAGATAGTATTGGCACTATCATCTCTTGTGGCATGCAGTTATATCTGTTCCTTCCTTTGTTTTCCACTAAAAAAAAAAAAAAAGAAAGAAAGAAAGAACGTTTATATTACTCTTTTTTATAATTGTTTTCCCTTTTAATTGAGAATGTCAACTATTCATAAATTAAACTATTTTTTTTTTAAATTAGCTGTGTAATTCTCGTGTGTTTCACGTTAAAAGTGAAGAAATACAAAATATATGTAAACTAGAATACATGTAAAATTAAAAAAGAAAATATAAAATATAAAATACATTTAATAAAAATAAATTAAGTATAACATGATATTTTAATGAAAAAATGTTTTAAAAAAAGAAATAAGATTACTAATATGATTTTCAAATAAACTGAATTTTGGAGATTATTATAAATAATAATTACATGCATGTGATTTTATGTTTAATTTATTTTAAAACTCGGGTATTAAAGATGGTGAAGTAGTTCAATTGTTATGAACATCGTTCTTTTAGAATGTAATTTTATTTTATTTTTTATCGGTAGAAAGATTTTAGGATGTAATTTGAATTGTTCTAAACTGTGACACAAACCTTAGGTATTATATTCTAATTAAGAATCAAGTTTGATTTCAATTACTTACGCAAAAAAAATCAAAAATCAAATTAATATTATTAATGGGAGAGAAATTTCAACTTACCTGAAAAATAATATAAAATAAAACAATTAAGGTGTTACATTTGATTTTTTTCCCAACACTACGCGTTATTAATGATGTAGACTTGAGAATTATATATCGCAAGTTGCGATTGTAATTATTAGAGAGAAAAAAAAAACAGAAAAGAAAAGTGGGATTAAACATGTGTTAATTATTTAAAATACAATATCCACATGTCAAAATAAAATTTCTATGACAAATGATCAAAGCAAGACAACTATATACCGTTGAGAATAATAATAGATTGAAAGAATTTTTTTCTTCATTGGAATGAGTTTTTATTGATATTGTAGTTTCATTGTCGTGATAGATATTTTTCCTTCTCCATTCTTGAATCTAATTAATTAATACTATTTTTAGTTCAAATTATAATTGATTAAATTAAAATTTTCTTTGATTCTAGTTATAAATAATAATTAAAATTTTAAAAAAAATCTTAAGGATAATTATTTTTTTTAAGTTATTGTTATAGTTAACTCTATTTTTATGATTAATAACTTTATTTTCCATGCATTTAAATATTTTTTATATAATAACAACAATTAGTATTGGTTTTTTTATTTAAATTATAGTACCTCATTTAATAAATATTATTTGAACTACTTGAGTCGATCTAAAGGTAAAAGTTAGGATAACGGGTATAGAATTTTAAGTTTAAATTTTAGCATCGTAATTATAATTATGATTGATAAAAGAAATCTATACAATAATATACCTAGTATTAAATAAAGAATATTTTTTTAAATAAAATTATAGTTTATAATTTTTAATGAAAGAAAATTATAATTTATAATAAAAATTAATTAAAAATTACTAATTTAATTATTATTAATTTTAATAATTTTTATTTCATTTTATAATGATACTTCTAAAGAGAATTGTATCGTACGGCACCTTTACTTTATTGGATGTAGTTAGTGGTAATGGACTACGGTAATGAAATGCATCATTGTGACAGATACCCTTTTCTTTCTCAAGCTTGGTGAATTCCTACATGCTCTTATTATACTTTTGAACATCCATGCACTATGCTTCCCATTTATCACTTCTTATTGCACCTTTTTCACGTGTATACATATAGAGAGAATTAGGTAAGAACAGATAAATATTAATTAATTACAGATCTTTTTTTTTTTCCGGGTGAAAGGAAGGGGCAAAACACTTTTATAGATCTGAGTTATATGGTTATATTTAAATAATTAAGGTTAAAAATTATTTAATTATCACATAATTACTTAAAAATCATATATATCTATATATAATTGTTACTATTAATTTAAATATTTATAATTATTCCCCATGCCAACTTTTTTTAAAATTTACGTAGACACATTTGGCAATAGGGGTGACTTATGATGCGAAATGTTTTCAAGAAAGAAGACACTCTGGGTTGGTACTTAGTAGTAATGAATTAATGATACCCTCGTTGTTTCAACTGTATATATAGAAGTAGTAGTAATTCATAATTTCATATACTGCTATTGCTTTAGGGGTTTCAACTTTCAAAGTTCATATATAATAAATGTAACATTTATATTTTCACTAGTTGTTTCAACTTTCAAAGTTCATTCTCGTAAAAATTAGGCCCATGATTCTCCCATAAAACGGATACAATCTAAATCAAATTAAGCTTAAACAAATTAATGAGATAATCTTCGAAAAGAAAATTATACGCAACTAAATTTCCTTAAACGAATTTGTTGTTATTCTAAATCATTATGTAACAAAATCACTTTCCAACAAAAAAATCTTTTGAATGGATACATGGTACCTTAACAGTACAACTTGAAGCTTCTTGTTCATCAAGTGGGCAACAACGTCCAAAACACCCACCAACAGTAGTACCCTACAACATCACTTTCATACATCTTTGTTTTCCAATATATTGCTTATAGTGGTTTCACTCGAGTTAAATCTCAGCTATGTAATCTTTCAAAATGATATCGTATGAAAACTAATTTAGAGAAAAAAAAGGACATAAATTGAAAATGCAACAGGGAAGAGTCAAAGAGCAAATAAGAAAGCATTACTACTTGCATATTCGTTTACACGTATCAAAGAGGACGGATTTTACGGTGAACCATCCTCATAAGTGATTCATCGTATACCATAAATAATAACTATTAGTGCTTCTAACATGAAGTAGTCGAGCACGTGCCTCATCCATGAGGCAATAAAATTACCGGTAATAACAAATTTTTTAACTTGTTTATATTTGCAAAATAGTCCTTATATTATATGAGGAGGCATGGTGGAGGCGCAGTGGAGGTGGAGGCACGGTGGCGGTAGAGGCATAGTGACAGTAGAGGTGTCGTCCACGATGGTGGCAGTGGAGGCGTGACCTCCTTCGTGTGGTGGCAGCGGATGCACGGGCTCCTTCGGGCAGTGGCAGCGAAAGCGCGATGGCAACGAAGCCACGGGCTCCTTCAAGCAGTGGTAGCAAAAGCGCGACTTCATTCGCGCGGTGGCAGTAGAGGTGCCGTCACCTTCCACGGTGGTGGCAGCAGAGGCGTGACCTTCTTCGCACCTGGCTCGCCCTCGAGCACTCGCTGTCATCGTCTTCCTCGTCCTCACCACCGGCGCTGTCTTCACTCCTCTCTACAAAATCGCCACCGGCCTCCTCTTCGGCCTCCCCATGCCTGTCCAGCCCATGAAGTCATCGCCATCTCTGCCTCCCCGCCCCTCACCATCCCCCAAATCTCCACCACAGGCCTCTCTGTCGCCGCCCTCCTCCTCCTCCTCGGCGCCACTAGCCTCACTGCTACCTCCCCCTCCCCATCGTCCGCGGCGTTCAACTCTCCCAAGGCCTCTCCTTCGCCTTCTCCGCCGCCAAATACACCGCTACAACCAAAATCTTGCCACCTCCAAATCTGGCCCTCCCCACCCCTGGCTCGCCCTTAACGGCCTTGCCATTGCACTCGTCGTCTTCCTCATCCTCACCACCCGCGCTAGCGACCACCCCCCACCCTCACCACCACAAGAAAACCAAAACAGGGCTTAATCTGCAAAATACAAAAGTATTATTTTCCAAGTTATCGGTAACAAATCTCAACCGTTGATTATAATATTAAATCTAATGGTCAAACATAATACTTCATCCATGTACCACATTTTTTGCTACTTCATGTTAGGATTTTCTTGTCTCTCTCTTCTTTTGACAATTTATATCTCTCACAATTGCCTATTGGGATTATTTTTAAAAACCAATTTTCATTCAAATATCTCATCAGCAATGCAAAACTTTAATTTTTACGTTATTATTAAAGTTAGGTTAATGCATAATTTTATAGATTATTATTTAATCTAATTTGTATCTTTATTGGATTTGTACAATATAAGTTCACTTTTTTTTTAATTTTGTTAAATGAAATTAAATCTCATTTAATGACTTGAAGTTTTTACTAAATGTGTATCTTTGTAATTATTTAATTGATAATAATATTTAAATATCATGTTAAATATAATATTAAATATTATAAACAAATATTGGCATCTAGTAATGCATTATTGTCACCCAATTAATGAGAAACAATGATGATCTGATTTCAACATTTTGCAACCATACTTACTGAGAGTAATTTGTCATTTCATCCATATACCTTTGATTGAATACAAGACAAAAGAGTGTCATTCTGGTTAAGTCCAATCATATGTTTCTCAATGCTTAAGAAGACATTCAAACACAAACAGGCTCAATATTTCATATTGGTTCATTCTCATGTAGCCACGCATATTTCATGGTTCACTTCATCGAGAGGCCCTATGCATACACCCATTATGCATGAGAGACAAACCCTTTTTACATCACTTATATCTCTTCACATGATTCACAGTAGGCTCAATTAACTATCTTTATAATTATCCTGTTACGAATAACATTTGATAGCATTAAAGACTACAACTTCAACATGTAGGAATCATAGTGACTTCAAGTCGAAGGACTACTTTACTAAGGTCTCCATGAGAAGCGTTCATTATACTCATTATCTTGTTGTAATTGAAGGTTTTAGTGATGCAAATTAGATTGTAATTGAAGGTTTTAGTGATGCAAATTAGATTTTTGATTCTAGTGAAACTAAATCTACTAGTGGTTATATTTGTACTTTAGTTGGAGGTGTAATAGCTTGAAAATTTGCAAAACAAACTATCATTTCTCATTCTACTATAGAAGTTGAAATAATTGCCTTAGATGTAACTATTAGCGAGGCTAAATTTCATAAAAATTTATTATATAATTTTCCTTTGTTAAATAAATTTATACTTCCAATTTCAATGAATTATAATAGTCAAGTTGTTATTGTTAAAGTTACTAGCAAGAACTTTAATTAAAAAAGAAGCACTTGAGAATAAGACACAAGTCTATTAGAAATTTGATATCTTATGGTGTTATTTTTGTTGATTTTATCAAGTCTAAAAATAATTTTGCGAATCTACTCACAAAAGGGTTCACATGTCAACAAGTACTTGAATCGTTGAGGGTAGTGAGACTAAAGCCCAACAACTAGTTGCAACAATGGACACTCATCTCCAAATGAATGGTGATCCATGAGGCATTCTTCTACCTTGAATTTAATTAAATAAATTTTTTAATAAAAATGCAATAAAAGGTATATAAAAAAATTCTTCATCATCATTTATAGTTAAAAGGTTCACAACTCTTGAAATAAAGATCTTTATATAAAAAGTGGTAAAATATTTGCATAAATTCAAAACAGGGCATAAATTGTTTGTTTACACAACTTTCAACGTAAAACATAAATGAACATATGAAAATTAACTTCAACTATGGATAAGAAATTATAAACTTTTGGTCCCAATGTCACATTATTAGAGCAAATTCCAACATGAGTGAAGCTATAAGCTTGAACCACATCAAACTCCTCATCTTGTACCTAATCTAAGCATGCAAATGTCGATCAACCCAAACACAACATAACAACACGCAAGGAGTGAGAAACATCTCATCCATGTACAATATATATAAAGCATAAGGATAACTTAACATACATAAGTCATAATTAAGTTTCATACATACATTTGTCCTCGTCTCCACATCCAAGACAACATTCCTCTTAGTCACATCACACAAAATACATCCATTCATCATCAACAATCAACAGTTATGTAATTCAATCATTCATAATTATAAATATAAGGTTTCCTATAGATGCATATGCTTAACTCTACATGCATGTGGTACCAAATCTCCTTATCATTATCGTCAATATAGAATAGGCTATGAGTCAGAACAGGACCACCTTGAAGTGAATGTTAGACTACAAGAAGGGGGTTAAATTGTTTTATTCTTTAAAAATTAGTTTTTTAGAAAGTATGTTTTCTGAGTATTGAAACTTAGTATTTTTCTAAAAATAATTTTGAGTTTTCTTGTTTTCAAAATAGATTATGTAGCAATAGAATGCAAGATGCAGTAATGCACACAAATTTTATATTGGTTCATCCTAACTAGGCTACATCTAATCCTTATACAAACTTGTGAGATTTTCACTATCACAACCAACTGCTATTCAAGAAACTCAGCCACCTACTAATACAAAGACACTACTACACAACCACCTACTATTAGTAGCAAATACTTAGCCACCTACTAAGATTTCCTCACTCAATCATCTGACTAGATCCATATTAGATAGTTTTGATAGAGTTTTCATGTTTATGTTTCCTACCTTTCTATGTCACAACCATTTGTCATTTTCAATCATAACAAGACATGGATAATATAGGACATCTTCTAAATGAACAATATATAAGTTATTTTCTCTATTTCCAGAAAATAATATTTCCCAATTGATTTTTCTTTAATTATACATGCATTTGGTTCAAACGTAACCTCATAGCCACTATCACATAGCTGACTGATGCTTAGAAGGTTCTGTTTTAACCCTTTCACATAATACACATTATCTACTTATGTTGAGTGCATGTTACCTATTTTTCCAATCCCTTTGATTGTAGCTTTTTTATTGTCTCCAAATGTGACTGATCCTCCATGTGCCTTCTTTTCCAAGGTCAAAAATTTTCTTTTTATCTCCTATCATATGCCTTGAACATCCAGTGTCCAAGTACCATTGCCATTTCTTGTTATTGTGCAATAGACATTCCTACATCAAAAAGTAAAAGAGATTTAGGTATCCATACTTTGTTGGGTCTTTCATGTTAGTTACCTTTCTATTAACCATATTCCTTTTCCAATAGCATTATAAGGTATAGTCTCCCCATTTGTTATAGTTGGAACATTTCCTTTTTTCTCTTATATTTTCAAGTTTGTTTCATATAACCTTTCTTTGATCTTCTCTAAAACCCAAAATTGTTCTATCTTAGAAATGTCGTTGATCACCAGTCAATTTATCACAATTTTTCTTTCCATTCACAAAGTTTGATGGATCTTTTGTCAAAGTTTCAATTTTGAGTTTAATGATTCCATTTTCATTTTCTAATTGATAAAATAATTTCATTTCCTTTGTGATTCTTTTTAATTGTTCTGACATACTAAAGTGAGAGTCTCTTAGACATATGTTTCTTTTGTTTAGAATTTCATTATCTAAGGAGAGCTTCTCATTTTCCTTCTAAGCAATTAAAAGTTCCCCATTTAGAGAGACACATTTTTTAGCTAACAGATTTGAATCATTCAGAAGATTATCAAAAATAATTTCTAAATCTTTATCATTAGAAAACTTAGGTTGATATTCGGATGTCTATTATTTGTCTAAATCTACCATCAGACATAGGTTTGTTGCTTGCTCATCATTTTCATAAGAAGATGAGTCTTTTGAGTCATCCCAAGTACCCATCATGGCTTTCTTCTTTGCTTTCTTATCATTCTTCTTAAGGTGTGGACACCCTAATCTGTAGTGACCTAATTCATTGCATTCATAACATTTAATTTGTGTCTTAAATGTTTATCTTGTTGAAGATTCCCTCTTATAGGAAATTTTTCTCATTCCTTTTCTTCTTTTGAGTAGCCTTTACACTCATTTGGTTAGAAGGGCTAACTCATCATCATCTTATTCTTCTAATTTTGTCTCTTCTATTGATTTTAAAGCCTTTCTCATTTGACTAGCCTTCAGGGCTATAGTTTTTCCTTTAGGCTGAAGTTTTTCATGCAGTTCTTGCTAATGTACTTTAAGTGATCCTATCAACTCATCCATTTGAAGCATCTTAAGGTCCTTTGTTTCTTGTGTAGCTATAATCTTTCATGTGCAACTTTCAACATTTTCCATGTTTCCTTTCTTTATGGGGCATTCTCTAACTTTGTCATATTCAATTCTACTTAATGCACAAGTAAGGTAAAACTTTGCTTTTGCATTTAATAAGCATATAGGTTTTTCATCAGCATTCCATTTTTATTTTGGTTTTGCTACTATGATTCCTGTGTCTAGAGTTTTATTTGGTCTGTATGGTCCTTCTTCTATTAATTTTAGTAAATCCACATCTTGTGAGTCCAAAAATAGCTTTATTTTATCTCTCCGTAGTAATAGTCTTTTCCATCAAACCTTAGGGGTCTATTTGTTGAAGCTCCTTCTCGAATAAACATAGCTGGAAGCTGCACAACCATCACTTCTTTAGGATCTTTTCTCGTACACTATTAAGTGTGCTCAACTTTTGGAGCCAAGCTTTGATACCAATTGAAGTGAATGTTAGACTACAAGAATGAGGGTTGAATTGTTTTATTCTTTAAAAACCAATTCTTTATGAAAATTTATTCTTTAGAAGGTAGGTTTTCTAAGTATTGAAACTTGGAGTATTTTCTATAAAAAATAGTGTCTAAGTCTTCTTGTTTTCAAAACAGATTATACAACAGTAGAATGCAAGATGTAGTAAGGTAAATAAAGCAACTAAAGAGATAGGGAGAGAGAGATTGCACACAGATTTTATATTGGTTCACCTTAATTGGGTTACATCCAGTCCTTACACAAACTTGTAATATTTTCACTATCACAACCAACTTTTGTTTAAGAAACTCTACCACCTACTAATACAAAG